AAAAAAATGAAGCCATGAAAGACAGATGCCACAAGGGGGAATGTTGTTTTTTTCTGTTGCTCGCTGACATATGACGTTTTCAAAAGTTTTGTCATATTTCCCTTCACAGGTTTCATCAATTGGAATACGTGTTGGAAGTAATTTTCGCCATTTAACATAATGAGTGCGATAAAAACAGGTATCCCCTCCGCAGCAGCCGCACTAGGCTTCAAGTTCGTCCTTATGTGTTAGCATTCCAGTTTTTGGTTATAGTTCATTGGTCGGGGTGCATTTATAATAAGATATCTTTGTTCAATTTCGAATGAATGACAAGGATGCAATATTGACTGACGTCTAATCTGCTTAGCGCACGGAAACAGAGATCGGGAAAAAGTTTCCGTGCGCTGTTCTGGAAATGTCACCTTTACTTTATTGTAAAGACAGGTGGAAAACTTGGAAAAGAGGTGTTTATCACGTGACCAGCGAGCGCACAGAGCAGTTAAACGCTGTATCAGAGGGCTCGAAATTTTAATAAATGAACGTGAATGAGCCTGCACCGAGTACACTTTTTAAATAAACGAGCGATAAATTTATGCTCAGAGAACTTAGATCAAAATACCGAACACACGGTTCGTGACCGTACTACATGCACAGCAGACTGAAAATTGACAGATGATTGACAGCATTGAAGATAAGGGCGAGACCTCACGGGCGTAATTGACGTAAGCGTAACTTATCACGTGATTTAATTTGTACGATTTCATTGGCGCCATTGCAGCCATCTTGAATTTTTGACATTACGCTGTCACTACGGCAAAAAGTTGGGTTTTGTTGAACTTTTCGGCGTAATCGTGGCGAAGTTGTGACGTTTGGTGGGTTCGGCTTGCTCACTCCGAGTGACTTCATTCGCACTCCATCCGTTCAGGTATTGCTTTGTAACATATTAGGGGTGACTCCATTAGCGTTCCACTATATGGAGTGGAGTAAATGGAGCTCACTCCAAAAGTTCCACCTCGGAGAGGGAATTTTTCAGAGAAAGCAGGCGCAGAGGTGAAATGTGGAAACTGTCAAGTTTGTGGTGTCACGTTGTGGTTGTTGTTAAAAAAATTAAAAATCGTTTATGTGTGGATGCGGGAATTGGTAAAATCATCGAGTAAAATAATAGTTGGGGAGCTGGCGTCAAAAACATGCAAGAGTTTTCGCAAGGCGGATATTTTCAAAATAGGTCGTACTTTAGTGCTAGAATGCTAGTGTACAGTCAGCACTCACAGTTCCGGGACAGCTGGCTCTGGGACGCGGGCAAAGTTGTAATTTTAAGAAGCATCTAAACTGTTTTCTCAAAGCTCAAAATTTATAGAAATTTTGCACATAATCTGTTTGAAGGTCACAGATAACGTATGTAAATCGTCAGACGTCTAGTTTGTTGCAAAAAGGGGGTCAGACGTCCTCAAAGTTTTTATTTTATGGCATTTTCTTCGGTGTCCTGTCAAAATATATTTTTGCAGGTATTTGACAAATATATTTGAAGAAAATGCCATAAAATAAAAACTTTGAGGATGTCTGACCCCCTTTTTGCATCGAACTAGACGTCTGACGATTTACATACGTTATCTGTGACCTTCAAACAGATAATGTGCAAAATTTCTATAAATTTTGAGCTTTGAGAAAACAGTTTAGATGCTTCTTAAAATTACAACTTTGCCCGCGTCCCAGAGCCAGCTGTCCCGGAACTGTGAGTGCTGACTGTACACTAGCATTCTAGCACTAAAGTACGACCTATTTTGAAAATATCCGCCTTGCGAAAACTCTTGCATGTTTTTGGCGCCACCTCCTGGACTATAAACTGTGTTTTTTTTTTAAAGATAAAAGTCAAAATGACATTATGTTGGCAATACAATGTAAAATTGTCAATGCTTTCAAATTTTTTATGTAAAAAAGGCTTGTGTTGCCAACATAGTTACTAAATTTTTGACTTGGGGAATTATCTTTAAAAAAAATACAGACTTTACAACATTTGATAAAAATCACTAAAATATAATGTGAAATACCCTAAATATAACTAGAAATCTGCTTCCGGAAACACGCTTCATGTGAATCGGCAAAAATTACTTCTTGAACGGAGAACATTCCGCACCCGCAACGCGATTTTCCGCTCATCATCAATTTACGACCTTTTTATTAACAATCATATATGTAATGTTGACTTTTCTGACTTTTAAAAAATTTGAAAATGTCACTTTTTTGACTTTTACTTTCCACCCACGGGTTGAAAGTTTACTTTCCTCCCGTGGGTCGAAAGTCTCGAGACAGTAATGAAACTTTTCACCGAGGTATGTATAATATTTTATTTGCAATCATATATGTAATCTTGTCATTACTGACTTTTTAAAAATTTGGAAGTGACACTTTACCTGTGTCACTTCCCTCTTCGATTTCCCTCACCGATTTCCCTATTCGACTTCCCTCACCGATTTCCCTCACTCTAATTTATTTACCTTTGCTGGCAACAATAAGAACATGTCAGGTGAAAACGTCAAAGCAGTCAATGACACATTTTGGCATGTTTGTTTTATTTTTTTAGTATTAAAAAAATTGATTGATTAATCATAATTAATGGTGTGCTTGCAAATAAAATAGTATACAAACCTCGGAGGAAAGTTTTCATTTCTGTCTCGAGATTAATAGTCAATCTCGACGCTTCGCGTCTCGATTGACAATATAAATCTCTCGACAGTAATGAAACACTTCCCTACTCGGTATGTAATATACTATTATTCACAATCATTCGAATTCTGAAATTTTTATTTGAATTAAAACTAAAAAAATACAATAAATAACAATTTCATTTACTTTCGGCCCACCGGAGAAAAGTTAAACTTTCGACCCGTGGGCCAAAAGTAAAAGTCAAAAGATACAATAAATTTTAAAAATTTCATTCAAAGTAAAAGTCAAAAAAGTGACATTTTCAAACTTTTTAAAAGTCAGTAAAGTCAACATTACATGTATGATTGTAAATAATAGTTATTTATATTACTAGTACGGTACGAGCTTCATTACAGTAACGGGTGGGGAATATTGCCAAGACGAGGTCGTAGACCGAGTCGTGGTAGTCACACCAGTGGTGTAATGAGCGTTACCGTACGTGTGATATTTAACATTTTATGTACGACCTAGATTTTTTTCATATATTCGAAATGGTTTTAATTTTTCACAAAATAATATACATACCTTGGTGGAAAGTTTCATTAGGTACTGTCTCGAGATTTTAGTTATCTCTCAACAGTAATGAAACACTTTCCACCTCGGTATGTAATATACTATTTTCCAAGTTATAACATTATCGATGTCATATATAAATACAAGCCTACATGAAATGAACTTTACCTATCTAATTTTATTTTATAACGGAATAACAAGTTCAGAAGTTCACGACTAATCTGAACTAGTACTGACTGACTGAAGGAAATAACCGAGAATCGTTAAAAAATATTTCTGCTTGCGATTTTCTTGATAGTTCTAGGGTTCTAGAACCTTCATTGTCCGAACCAAAATAAACCCTGGCGTGCATTAGGATTTTTGCAGTTTTTATCGAGTCGATAATAATATTTTGTCTTGGAATAATTCTAATAATTTCTGATTTTGAGAGTTTTAAAGTGAAGAGTTCGAGATGGCCTATGGGAGTCCGTTTGATGTAGATAGATGATGATAATTGGGATTATTGAGAAGATGTCGAGATTCGAGAACGAATATTTGAAGCCTTAAAATCAAGACTTGCTTGTTCACTGCGAATTAGGTAAGTACCTACTTATTTTGAATTTGTAAGTATTTTTAAATGTTTAAAAAATGAAAATAGGCAAGCAAAGTTCTGATTGATTAATAATGAAATAAAGGATTGATGAATTTACTAAATTGTGGGTTTCTACATTTTTCTGTGATATTAGAGATTAGAGCGAGAAATGTGATACATTAAGCGTGCCGTGTTAAATAATAACTATTTCCAAAAATAAATTGAAGTACTTAACAAACAGTAACTTGCAGTACTTGACGAGCACTCGTGAGCTGTCCTCAACATGCCCCGGAAGAAAATAATAATTGACGATTACGTGTTAAATGTCAACAATTTCCACAAAAAAATGTTGCAGCATCTTGCAGCACTTGACGAGCACTAGAGAGCTGCAATTTTTGATTAAAAAATGCGGACTTGTCGGGCTGTCATCAACATGGCCCGGAAGAAATAATTAGGGACTACGTGTTAAATATCAAACATTTTCAAAAAGAAAAATTGCAACATCTTGCAGCACTTGACGAGCCCTAGAGGACCCCAATTTTTGATTAAAAAATGCTGACTTATCCAGGCTGTCATCAACATAGCCCGGAAGACATAATAAGGGATTATGTGTTAAATATCAAATATTTTGAAAAAAAAATTTGAAGCTTCTTGCAGCACTTCATAAGTGCCTTTGGGTATATCAAATATATATTTTTTTTCAGACGATTTGATATTATTTTCATAAATATCCTTAGCTATGTGATTTTATCTGAGGTTCTGTGGATAGTTTAGAAATTTCTTCTTCCACTTGTTAAGATAACTAAAATTGCCTCTTTTTTTCAAAAATATCGAGGAATTATTCTGAGTATGTAATGGAGTTTTATCAGGAAAAAAGATTTTTTACTGGATAATAGAAAACAAGAACATTATTTTTTTTCCTCCGACAGTGTTTGAGGTTAAGTTTTTATTATTTATGTTTTCTTCTTTACTATTTTCTGTATTATTTAATCGATTTTCATTGATGGACAATTACTGTAAAATATTTAAAAGTATAGTTTAATAGATCAACGTCATACACATCGAAATTATGAAAGATCTGACCGACTATAGGAGTGCCCACTTTCAGAAATATATCCTTTGTTTTGCGATTTTATCTGAGGTTCCGTTTTTATTTTCGATAGTTTAAAAATCTCCTCTTCCACTTGTTAGGATAACTAAAATTGCCACTATTTCCCCAAAAAAAAAACAATAATTATGTTTCTCACATACGAATATCAGATTTATTAATCATCATTCTATCCACAAATAAAAATTAGCATTTTGTTTAGGAACGCCATACTCAAATATAATTTTTTTAAATTTTTAAATTAAATTAACACACATTTACTCGCACAGCCATGGCAATATGGCTGCCATAATTATTATAATAATATGTAATTAATCAATTATAATACAAATAGTCAACAAAATAAATTGAATGTCCTAACATTTGCTTAAATTAAATACTAATAAAGGCGAATTTTTCAAAAAAAAAAAGTAAACAATCAAACAAGTTTTGTTTTTTTGACACTGGGCTAAGGTTTGGTTTTTAAACCTTCAGACAACTTTGGAAGGCTTAGCTAACGCACCAAACAAATGGAATTACTAATAATAGTTAATTATTCTAACTGAGAGTATTTTTCGTTTACTAGTACTATATTGTTTGACTATATAAACTACTAAATTTGGTCCAAAAATATTTAGTTTGTTGTATAAAGTGGATATACTTATTTTGCTACAGGATTATATAATTGAAAATGTTCCTATAATGAAGAAAATTTCACGTTTTTCATATCTTGTATATTAAATTCTTCTTACGCAGCTAATTTTATTGTTATTTGAGCATTATTACAATACAATTTAATAAACAAGCCCAATTCGAGAGAAAAACACTCGCCTAAGGCTGGGTACAGTTTTAACTGTGAAGAGAGCCTAAAAATAACGACCTAAATAATTTAAATTTATCTAATAATTCATCTAAAAAAAAATTTGTTTAATGAGCACCTGAGTAAAATATTACACTAAATAATAATTTAATTTAAGTACATTTAATTGACTAGCAAGAAAAACGAAAATGCCTTTTTATATAAAAGCTCTGTTCCAACTGACATAGAACGATAATTTCTAGTCCATCAATAGTGGGTTAAACGTTCAACTTATTGAAAAATAAATGGACCACTGAAAATTACTGGTTTTCATGTCGGTTGGAACAGACCTATAATAAACAAATCACAAAATACAATTTGTGTTGATTTTGAATTAGGGGATGAATAGAAAAAACAAAAAATAAAAATAATGCTCTAAAATTTAAAAAAATAAAAACAAATTTCTATAAAAAACATGGTGCCACTCACTAACTGATGATCGATGAAGAAAAAGGAAGACGAGTATAATAAAAAATGGAAAATTCTTTCTTGAAATCCTTACCATCCTCTAGTGCCCTTGAAACTAATTTTGATCTTTAGAAGTCAACTTTCCTTCCACTAACCACCAGTTATTTAGCACTACCCTTATATAACCACAACATTGCCGTTATCCTTCCTAATAACTCAAAATCAACAACTTAAACTAAAAAAAAAAAAATGACGCATCCCAAAGTTGTCCCATTCAACGTAATTATTTACACAGTTAAACTTAAAATAGGCGTTAAATATCTACAAAAAAAAAAAAAGAAAAAAATCGTAATATATACAATGCAAGGTATCATCCCGACTGCTGACGAACGATGTGACTCCGAGTCAATGGTCTGTGACCGTCCTGGTCCCTACGCCTCTGTTTTATTTTATATTTTTCTAAAAAACTTAAAATGGCGAATCGGCAGTCGATATACATTTTTTTTAACGTTTGGAATGTCAATAATATCGACCCGAACTTCACATCACTGGAATATAAGCGTACGGAGAATATAATATAATATTGTAATAAATATTATTATAGTTTATATTTTAGGATAACATCCCACTCGGTATATGAGTATACAGAATCCAGACCAAGAAAAATATTTCCTTACTTAAACTATCAATCACACTTCAAAAAAAAAAAGTATCAAAAAGGCCCCAGTATGGATCATCACCTAATAAATATTCATCCTAACTCAAGTTACGTAGCATAATCAACTTTGTCCCATGATAAAGTAATATCAGCTGCCGGCCTAAACTCCTCCAAATTGAACGGATCAAAAGGATCTTGAGCTATGCCTAATAAAGGATCATACGCCACCCCCAAATCCTGACTATCTTGACTATTCAAAGTCAACGAGTTACTTCCATTTGTACCTGGATAGCTATTATCGCCAGACATAAGGGCCTCGAGCCATTCATCAGTATCCATAGGCACAACACTATTTTGTTCTTCAGTCTGTAAATTATTGTTTTCGCTAACTTGCCCCAAATCCATGACTAACTGGTTGAAATCCATATTGTCCAAAGATTCTAACAGTTCTGTAGGATCGATACCAGAAAGTGCTGAATGTTCAGGACTACTCGTATCGATCATTTGAACGTTATTTTCGAGATCAGTCAACAAACTTTGATTATTCGGATACAATGGTTCCTGTGCTTTAGTGCCGGCAGAGCCAGGAGTCGAAGGGTATGAGGCTGCACTAGCCGGCAACTCACCATTTTTGATCAATATCTCCAAAACATCATCCACTATTTGACTTTTGACACTATTTTTCTTTATTTGCTTAGTAGCTTCCTCATATAACGGCGGTGGCTTGGGGATTTCACTTATATCTGAATACTCAATTTTAATTTCAGGAGGAGGCTTAACTTCTTCAATATATTCCCGTTTAATATCAGCCAAAACGAAATTAGGCAAACTAGTTGTCCTACTATGCCCGTTTATCAATTTAGCAGGCTTACCTTGCATAAACTGATAAAGCACTGCCGCATCAGCCCCATTTAAAACTAAACCCACATTCTTCTGATCCCCGTTAAGCATTACAGTGTTAAGATTTTTCTGATTTTGGAAAGCAATATGCTGTTGTTGCTGTAGCCTTTGCTGTTCCTCATTCACTTGCGCTTGTTTAGCCTGAGCTTGTAACTGCTTCATTTGTAACGCGATATTTTGTTGTTGAAGCTGGGCAGCTGCTTGTTGTTGTTGTTGCTTGGCCTGCAAGTGTTTCTGTAACAATTGTGTTGTAGTTTCAGTTCTGGTATTGTTCAACACTTGCAACTTCAATTGGCTTAATGTTAATTCTCTTTGTAGTTCTTCTATTTGTCTTTGTTGTTCTCTGACTAGATCTTCGTTGAGTTTTTGCGCACTATCTGATTGTGGTGCAGGACTTACTGGATCGGCAATGTCCATGTAGTCGTGGTGATCGTCTTTGAGTGATTCGCTAGGTGAACCTAAATCTTGGAAAGGTGGACTGTTATGGGATTGATCCATGCTAGCGTTGCTGTGTATTGAAGAATCTACTGAGCCGGGGTTGTGGTTGACAGTGTCGGAACTTTGACTGGTGGAGTGGGATTTTAACCGTTCTATTAATTGAGGTTTGCATCCGGAAACTGGCAAGCTACGGCGTTTGAGTTCGGCTCTAAGATCACTCACTTTCATGTCTTCCAACTTTTTGCTTGGCACTACTGAGGATTCTGAAGACGTTGAAGGCGCAGGAGAAGGTTGTTGGGTGTTTATACTACTACTGATGCTACTAGAATTGTTAATGCTTATTCCATTATTACTTTCACTGTCTCTTTTTTGCGATGCAGGTAGAATTATTTTTGGGAATTTATGTTGCAGCTGCAACTGAAATTGCAACAACAAAGTTTGCTGTTTTAGTAACAAGTCGTAACTACTTTCTCCGTTGCCTGGGCCGTTAAGGCTACTGCTTTTTTGCGCGCTGGGTGGTCCTTTGTATTCGTGAAACTTAATTGTGCGCGCTTTAGGTGCCGATTTGGATTTGGATTTTTTTCGGTTTTTGTCTTTGCCAGGTGCATCGCATTTGATGCTGGGAGGTATAAGTCTTGGTGGTGGAGGTGGCGGAGGTATTACCGGAACGGGCGTGGCCGGTTGTGAGGCTATACACGACACTGGACTAGCTACAGAAGATAGGGGACTTAAAGTTGACGTTGATGACACTAAAGAAGCAGGACTCGCGCTGCCTTGAGAAAGTAAAGGTCTACACATATCAGCAAACACTATTTCAGTATTGTCTTTTGATAAGCCAGGCGTGGCTGTAGTAAGCACAACAGTTCCTTCGGGTTGTATTAACGACACAACTATTCCTGCGGACTTTGCGGCTGTTTCGATAACGTCGATAGGTCCAGGACTCACTGTGGCGTCACCTTCGGAACTGCCTTGCGAATCTTCCTCGGGATTAATATAATTGTGGGGATGTTGCGGCCGCTTTAAAGCACCTTCACTGGTAGCCTTATAAGGTATTTGGCCAGTTTTCACTGCTTGCTCTATAGGCTCTTCCGTGTGCAAGATATTCTTCTGGATCAGTTCCAGGGGGCCTGGTCTATGCGACAGTTGATCGTTAAGTTGATCGGCTAGACGGGCTTTTTTAAGCATGCGCTGCCGTTCGGCCAAGCTCGGGTCAGCGTGCAATGCTTCGGCTTCCAGGATGTGCCTGCGCTCGAGTTCTTGTCGTGGCGGTCTCTGTTGGATTTTCGCTTTTAGGATATCACCCGTTTTCGCCCGTTCTGCTGATTTTCGTTGGCCTTGGGCTGAAACAAGAAGTTTTTCGTGAGTAGAAAGTATATATATTGATATTCTGGAACAAGATTTACGATTATTAAACGCAATTATGGCAGTTTGAATTAGTGTCATTTAACTTTTTCCTACCGAGCAGAGGCTGCACTAGTAAAACTCAAATTTTCTTTCATATTAGGGAGAGTTTTGATAGCTCGGCATAATTGAGACTGATCAGAATATCAAATAACACCAACCTATAAGGAACAGAACAAATAATGGAGGAAACTACCCAAGAAAATACAGAGAAACTGTGTGTAAATCCGAGGAAAAAATGTTTGATCGAATATTTTAATTTTAAAACAAGCGATATTGAACCAGGGAGAAGCTGCTCTCCTACGGAAAGTGCGATGTAGCCAAATTCATTTTTTTATCGTTTTTCCAAGTTGAGGAAATTTTGCATTGATAACTATTAAAACCGAACTCTCAATTTTCTAGGGTATAGTACCTATCCGCCAGACATATTCGAGATTCGTACAAAAAAGTATGTTTATATTATCAACCGGACTGCATTTAGTCATTTTCCGTACTTGTTAGGTAAATAGCTATTATTTCATACTGTATTGTCAGCCCCCATTACGTTATCGATTTCAGTCCGGGAAATGGTAGGGGAGGGTGGGCCACCATGAGACGCGTTTACCATGAGACAGTCGCCATTATTTTTTAATAACCTGGGCTTTTTTTCTCCATTTCACAGTACATCAAGTATTAAACATGTTTGTCTTATTTCTGTTGCCAGAGAAGCTGCACGTGCATCCCCAAGAAACTTAACTGAAGGATATTTTATATTGTTTTCAAATCTTGAATATCCCAGAAACCATAAGACACTGGCTTCATGTGCACATGTTCCAACTATTCTTGCTCCTGATTTGCAGGTGCAGTAATATCCAGTTATTTCATGCGCATACTCGATCTATATCTGATGTTTGACGCGGTTTTGGAATCTAGACCATATTCTCAATCGAATAGTGTTGACAAGCTGATTTGCAAGCTTAGCTTGTCCGATTCTTTGGCCCTATCAAATTTTGACTTTCGACCTGAAAGGCTGAGCCTGGCCTGGGGGCAGCCATCTTCCTAAGTTCAATATCGATTACCGTTCTCGTGGAAAAAAGTACCTTATCGGCCATCAGGCACTATTTTAACGAAATAAAGTTGCGTAAAGGCAATTTTTCGTTGATTACCGAAAAATTTAATATCGAAAGACTTGTGATTACCGTTTCTTTCGACGAAGCCGTTACCAACAAGCCCACACCATTTTCGTGGAACATGGGCATAGAGCTTTTGAAGAGATTTCCTAGAGGAATCAAGTCCCTTGCGTATTAACTCTTGTACCTCCACATTGGACGATAACTGAGAACTTCTAGCCTCTATCTACCTTGGAGCCAGAGGAAAAGAGAAGCTGAATACTGTATTGTGCCAGAACGCCAACGTTTTCGAGCCCAATAGCGAACCTACTCCATTTGCAGAGCATGCGATACGATGATCCTATATTTGTACCGCCTTATCGGATGTCGGAGATAAAGAAGCAGCTGCGCACTGAATTGGACAAGTTGCTGCAGAGTGGTACCATAGAGGAGTGTGAGTTGCCCTATGCCGCCCCAGTGGTCCTAGTGCCCAAGAAGGATGCTGGGATCCGATTGGTAGTGAATTACCGACAACTCAATTCAATTACCAGAGCAGATCGGTACCCATTACCAAGACTTATTACACGAAGCGAAAAAGACTCAGTTTATGACGACATTAGATCTGAGAAGTGGATACCTACCATCAAATAAGTGTGAGACTCGAAGATAGAGACAAAACAGCTTTTGTTACACCATTTGGAACATTTTGATATAATAGAATGCCTTTTGGTCTTTCCACGGCCCCCTCCACTTTTCAGAGGCTCATGGATGGTTTTCGTGCTGGTTTACCTGACATTTTTATGTTGGTGCCATTAGGAATATGCCACCACCCAAAAACGTCAAAGAGCTCTTAAGTTTCCTGCAAACCTGTTCCTGGTTCAGGAGATTTATCGACAATTTTGCAAGTATTTCTAAACCTCTCACATCACTGACAAAAAAGAATGTGCAGTGCGAAGGAACTCAATTAAACGCTTTTTACGAAAATTGCACTTAGTTCTACACCAATCTTAAGACAGGCTGACTGTAAGTTACCCTATATACTACGTACTGATGCAAGCAGTTATGCCCTCGGAGCATGTCCACTCCAGGGGGAGGGTGAGGATGAACGTCCAATTGAGTATGCAACCAGGTTGCTCAATCAGCAGGACAAAACTACAGCACAACTGAACGAGAAGCTCTTGCTGTCGTCTGAGCTGTTCAAAAATTTAGAGGATATATAGAAGGTTCCACTGTCATAGTACAAAGTGATCATCAACCTTTAAGATGGCGGATGTCCCTAAAAACCCCTACAGGACGACTAGCTCGATGGGCTTTAAGCCCACACGGTTAGATGATCTCCGAATCGATTATATCCTTGGCACAAAAAATGTTATAGCAGAGACCCTGTCAAGACCTCCCAGACAAGAATCAGACGAATCGATCAATATTGTCACTGTCGATCTACCAAGAAAATTGGCAAGTGCAATTCGAGCAGAACAGATGACTGATCCTGACTTAAGCAAGATAATGAACGGACTATAAAGTTCTGCTACTGGCGTATATTTTAAAAAATGGGCTGAGAGAGGATATGTTCTATCCAATGGAATCTTATATCGATATTCACCGGAAATAGATGAAGAAGTGAGGCTCTTCTGAAATTGAACGAGAACGGAATTCCGTCTGAAGAAGGCACCGTGTGCTGAAACATGTTACGGCATCATTCAAATAAAATTGTGGAAATCTAGAAACCTTTTTTGTTTCCTTTCAAAATTTGTAATGGATTTCCATCAAATATCGGCTAAATCAATCTCTTTTAAATAAATATTCATTTATCAAAAATATTTCTTTTGGGGTTATTTTCCCAAACCATAATAAGCCCGGAGTCTCACGCATCCGTTTTCCGACGAAAGATGTCCGAAAAATTTTCTATTTTGACATATTTTCATACGATTATGTCAGAATAGAAGGTTTTTCGGACATCTTTCGTCGCAAAACGGATACATGTGACACCGGCTTTATCCGTTTTCAAAGTGTATGTACTGAACTACTCTGTTCGGCTATTGAACTCAGTACAGTTTTAGTTGAACCAGGTTCAATCATTGGTTCCATAATCTTTGATATGTGCTCTGCGCTATCCTTGCTTTCTATTTTTTGACTTTTGAAGTGTCATTAATTTTTGTCAACTGGCTTTCGATTAATAATGTTTTTGGGATCGTCGATTCCTGTTAAGTCCTATTAGTTTTGCAACACGGATAACTTACTCCATATCGTATTCTTCAAATTATAATTATTGTTCTATTGGATAATTCCTTATTATTATTATCATTATTCGTCAGCTGTTGCAATTTTTCTCTGATTATGTTGTGTGCAATTTTTGGTGCATGGAAATACTATCGAATCGATAGTATCGATTTATTTTTGACATGTCATTACTCTGCTACTGGTCTATCCTTCAAAATCTAAGACAGCTGATTGATTGGTTACTTGTGGGAAATCTTATGTGAAAATCTTTCTTTCACGTTCTCGTTGCTTTGAAGAAAGGGTCTCTTGAAGAATTTAATTTTTTTTTCGCCCTAAAAAGGGATTTTGGACCTAATTTTCTTAATTGAATTTATGGCACACTGAGTTTTCTTGCGTTGTGTTTAATTTTCGTAAAGTGCTATAATTTTCGCCGATGTTATCGGTAGAGATGCACCGAATAGTGGTTTGGGTCACTGGCCAAATACCGGATATTCGGCCGATTGTCACGGCCGAATAACGAATATTCTGGGCCTGGTTTTTTGCCGAAGATTCGGCCATAAATCGGCCGAATATTCGGTTAATATGAATGTCATTTGGATTTCTTCTGTTTTAAAGGTTGGCTTGTTGGGTTACTTTGGGGTTGGCATTGTTGGCAGTTGGCAATACCGATTTTATTTTCATTAATGTGAATTCCCGTGGTGACTTGTGTGCATTTATGTGTTTTTGCATAATTGCCGAATATTCGCCGAATACCTTATCGCTGCTGGCCGAATAACGAATATTAGGCATTTACTCAAAAGTGGCCGAATATTCGGCAATTATTTGGCAAACCGAATACTCGGTGCATCCCTAGTTATCGGATTTATTCTATGATCGGATTTGAAAACAACCATTTCGGTAAGTTTGCTGTACGTTTTTTCCCACAAGTAGATTCTGACCACAGATTAACCCGTCCGGACGGGTTAATCTGTGATTCTGACTTTTTCCAATTAATCATTACTGAAAAGCTGCCCTAAAGAGTAGAGTAACATCTCACTCACTCTAAGATATCGAATCCAGACCTCGATCTAGACTTCCAGAGTATTATCGAGGCAAACAAAACCCTATTTCCAACAGGTAATAACCTGAAATTTTTTTATGCAAACTCGAGGCACTTTTTCTTCAATTACTATTTTCAAGAGTTATGGTTTTTTTTTATCAATGAATTTGCTATTTGAGACTAATGAAGTTACATTTTAATTTTATTTTTTAATTATGTCTATTCATAAAGTGCTTCGCTACAGCTATGGTTCAATTACAACGCAATCTGGGCCACAGGCCAGTACAGTGGAAGACTGGACAGGTGGTGGCGCGAACCGTGAAGATGAGTGTAGCGAAACTAAAGATACAAGGCGAGGTAAGTTCAACTATGTTTGCGTTAGTAAGAGAGAAGATGCAAAATTTATTGGATGCAGGCGTTATCCAGGAAAGTTAGTCGGCGTTTGCAAGTCGAATTGTACTGATACTGATACCAAAGAAAAATGGAGATGTTCGTATGTGTGTGGATTACAGGGCGTTGAATGCGATTACGGTGAAGAATCGATCTCCTTTGCCTCGGATTGAGGACCACTTGGACCGACTGGCGGGCAAGTGCTACTACACTCCTTCGAATTTGGCTCAGGGGTATCATCAAGTACCTGTGGCGATGGATTCTGTGTCCAAAACGGCGTTTGTAACTCCTGATGGACATTACGAGTACTTGAGGGTGCCTTTCGGATTGGCGAATGCTCCGGCCGTTTTCTAGAGGGTGATAAATCGAATGCTGAAGGGCATGCAGTATGATCTTGTGTTGGCGTACATGGATGAGCTTCTCATACCTTCATCTTCTATTTCTGATGGATTGGCGTTGTTGGAAAGGGTTCTGCAAATGGTGGCGGAGGCGAATTTGAAATTGAATCTGGCGAAGTGCATTTTTCTGCAGGATATGTTGGAGTATTTGGGGCATGAGGCGAGTACAGGCGGCATTCGTCCAGGTGAAAGGAAAGTTCAGGTGGTGAAAGATTATCCTGTTCCGGTTGATGTCCATGGAATTAGACAGTTTATTGGTCTGGCGAGTTATTTTAGAAAGTTTGTCAAGAATTTTGCTGTAGTTGCAAGGCCATGGACGAACTTAACTAAGAAACATGTTCTATGGCGATGGGGTGCAGAGGAGCAGAGTGCATTTGATCAATTGAAGGCGGCTTTAGTTGAGAGAACAATATTGGCGTTATATGATAGTGAGGCGGAGACAGAACTACATACAGATGCGAGTAAACTAGGCGTGGCGGGTATTCTCTTGCAGAAACAGGCGGATGGCAGTTTGAGGCCAGTCTTTTACTACAGCAGGGCGACAACGGTGGCTGAGCAGGCGTGACATAGTTATGAACTCGAAACTTTGGCGATAGTAGTCTGTTAAACGTCTTCGAGTGTATTTGATGTGTTCATTTCAAGGTGGTGACAGATTCTTCAGCAGTCAGGGCGACAATGGCGAAAAAGGGATGGCGTTACAAGAGTCTGTGGAGTATAGAATGGGTCATAAGATGCAACATGTTGACGCATTCAATAGGAATCAGGTGAATGTTTGCTTAGTAAACATGACTGAAGACGATTGGTTTCTGACAGTGCAGTAACAAGACGAAAAGGCGCAGGCGTTGATAAATGGTTTAGCTGAGGGAACAGCAGACAAAGGCGTGAACGGTGTGAAGTTGGCGAATGGGCGTTTGTATAGAAAAACATTACTTGGCGATCGTTTGGATGTACCTTCTATGGCGACATTTGGGTTGGTACGCAAGCATCATGATGACATAGGTTATCCAGGTGCTGACAAGTGTTTAGGCTTGCTTAAGCAAAAGTATTGGTTTCCGAAGATGGGGCGTTTTGTTAGAAAATATGTGAAGGCGTGTATGAACTGTGCTTTTGGCAAAGGTAGTCATGGGCGGGCGCCTGGTCTGTTGCATCCGATAGAAAAGGTGGCGATAACTTTTCATACCGTGCACATAGATCATGTAGGCTCATTCTGCCGAAGTCGAAAGGACAATCAGTGTGGTTGACGCATTTACTAAGTATATTCTAGCGAAACTAACAAAGACTTTGAGGTCTTCAGAGGCTTTTCTCAAATTGAGAGAGGTGTTTGTCAAATTTGGGAACCCAAGGCTAATTATTTCCGACCGCGGATTGGCGTTCACAAGCAAGGCGTTTGCTGACTTTCTAGCGATGCGAGGTGTGGTCCAGTTTCCAAGGTGATAGAGAATGATAGATATGTGATAAGTGGTGTGAAAGGTATGCGAGGGTATAAATATTTTAAGGCGTTAGTGGCGATTGATTCTTTGAGGCGATATAGTAGTACTACTGCACCTGGTGAGGATGCAAGCAGTAACTCTGGGAGTGAAGGCGAAAATGTAGATCGGCAGGATCTGATCGATTTACTCGAGAGTTGAATTATTAATGAGGACATTAATTTTGCAGGATGGCCGAATGTAACGGGCGAATAAATTTGAAAACCAGATGAATACCTTGGAAGGCGTACACAAAGTATAGGCAACCAGGGCGGCCAAGCCACGAGCGCTATGACGATGCGAAGAGAGAGGTGGTACGACGGACTACGACGGGAGGATACAGATGTTGCGGCGTGCGAGAGCGAAGGGTGACATTTTGTTTTCCGGTGATATTTTCGATATTTGATGTGATTTTGTGAAATAAAGGCGATTTAAATAAAACTAGCGTTTTACAATCATGATGGATAATTCCTCTGAGTCATTACCGATGATTACGATATCGTCTGCAAATCTCAGATGGTTCAAGTTTTTCCGTTAAATACCCTTGTCCTGCCATGGTAACTTTTTAAATATGTCCTCTAGGGCCAGTGTAAACAGCTTAGGGAAGATCATGTCACCCTGTCTGACATTTCTATTTATTAACATTTTCTCAGTGGTCAGCTCACCCTTGATCTTTACTCACATTGTGGCATTTCCATATGCATGACTTATTATTCTGGTCGTGGTATCGATCCTCGCATTATGCATAGCACCTAGAACTGCCCATGTCCCATGTCATTGTATTCTGTACACTTCTCGATCAAGGTTCGTATAACTACCCTGTATGTGATCAATCGTGCCTTTCCGAAAATAAGCTTGTTCAACTTGCTGATAGAAATCAAACTTAGCATTTAGTCTATTTGTAAGTATTTTCGTTAGCAGCTTATATAAGATAGACAGCAAACTAATAGGGCGGTAATTCTCCAGGTTAGTGGCATCTCCCTTCTTGAATATAATAGTAACTTCGGCGTTTTGCCAGGCTTTGGGGATTTTTTCTTCTTCTAGACATTTATTTAGTATAATGAAGATGGCTTTTTCCAATGTCTTCCCTCCGATTTTAAGCATCTCGCTCGTAATTCCATCCTCTCCTGGAGCTTTTCTGTTCTTCAGCTATCCTATTGCGGTTCTTAACTCACTTGTACATATTTCAGGTATTTCTTCGGATCCAACATTTATGAAGGAGTATGTATGTGTCTTCTTATATTGGCTATTGGTGGTTATATAGTTTGATTATATAAGTCTTGGTAGAAAGCCTGCATTACTTTAACGCACTCGTTTCCTTCATATACAAGATTTCCTTGTCCATTTCTTAATTTCTGAATTAGGAGTTTTCCTCTGTTTCTTCTAGATTTAAGCACCTTTTCACTACTCGGTGTTTTTATCATTCTCTCATTTCATATCTTGGAGCAGCTTGGATTTGATTTGATCGCTGCTAATCTGTGCACCAGAGTATTCAATCGCCATCATTATACAATATTAAAATTTAAATCCTCCATGCATGATCTTGCCAAAAAAAAAAATACAATGCCAATAACAATCATCAGTCCACTTTCACCTCAAATCATTGAAATCGAAAACGGTGGCATAGACCTCCATCGATTGTCGGGCCGAAAGTTCGTATTACGAAACGAGCAATATATACCGAATTTAAAAGAACACATGTTTACGTTATCGGCGCCAGAACACCTTAAAAGTGCGAATCGCCGCATAAATTTCCTGCACGAGTGGAGCATATGGTACTAATATGGCCTATTACTGACTCGCAGAGTCAAATATTGAACGCAATTTGCTGGATATGAAGCTCTCGACTGGAAATTTTTTGGGGCGTTATCGTTTTATTTGGAAATTCCTGCTCAATAGGCACAAAGTAAATCTTCCAGGCAATTTGTAGGTTTAATCAAAAAAAATTCAAATTACAAATAATTTTTTTTTAATAACCTTAACATCGATTTTATAGCATGATCTAATAAAAAATCATTCTTCAGTAATAATTATGCCAGCTGCTATTGCTTTATCGCTAGAAAGCCAATTTTGGGTGCATTTTCAGCAATTTTTTTAATTTCAGTAAATTTTCCGCTAGTAAAATATCAGCAACCAGGAATTTTTGCTCAAATATTTTCAAATAAGGGCGAAATTAAAATTTTGAACAAACATTTGCTATCTCTTCGACGTTCTGATGAAATTTCACGTTTGGAAATTGCTCGTTTTTTTTTTTTATCGGTTTTCGCAATGACTGATGGCGTTTATATAGTCGATGATTTGAAATTTGATTTCAATTACTGATATTTGCATAATCAATTTTTTTAAATATACTTACGGGGCACTATTCCTTGGGCCACCAGCTGGTCGAGCGGCCTCCGCAGAAGAAGCTTCACCTTGAGGGCTGCAACAAAGAAAATAATACCAGGTTAAAAAGGACGCCTACAAAAACAGCTTTTTGGGGCACTAAGCGACCACATCATAAAAGATTATTTCGCTCGTGAAATATTACGTTTTTAAAGAAAAAACGAAAACTTTTAATGCGAGGATTAAGCAAATGAGCTTTAAGTTTTTTTTTTATCGGGCTATCTAATACTTAAGTAAACTGCAGGTTTTGAATGGTAAATTTATTCTAAAATTGTTGTAGGTTGTGCCCACGTTATTGTTGTTTGTGATCGGTTTTGACTTGTCAGAGCATTTTCCAAAAAATCGATACAATTATTGCAAAAGGAGCATAAAGAATAATGGTTTCTTATGTCAGATGTAGGTAAAGCACCTATTATAAGGCGTGGGCGATTATTATACTATACAATAAAACAGATTCTAATATATGTATATATTTTAAATAATTATGATATACAGGGTGTAGGAATTAATTGGAAGTTTATTGAAGAAATTTAAATTAGTTAACCTAAGTTGTCACCTATACTGGTATATTATCTAATTGGAGTATGTACAGTATTGCTATCACTACATTACTCCCCTCTTCAACACTTGAAGACACAAAAAAATAAATAAAATAAAATTAACAGTGGAGAGCGTTTTAGCACCACGAAAACTAGTCAAAATAAGCTGGCTTGAGTCTCAATAGAAACAGTATTAGCTTTTCCATTGATATCAATGGTGAAATATGTATCACTTCTATTTAAAATTTTAAATGGGTCCATCATAAGATGCTTGTAGTGACTCTTTGACACCATCATTTCGAACGAAAACATGCGTGGAAAATGAAAGGTCTTTAGAAACAAATATTCTTTTTCTGTCACTCTTTCTTGCAGGAAGAAACTTTAATTGCCTCATGAAACACTTGAACGATTCAGCGAACCTGAGTGGCTCATAATTCTTCGTTTTCTCAAAAAATTCTCCAGGAAGTTTCAGAGTTGTCCCATAGCCGAGTTCCGAAACTGTGCAGCCTAAGTCCTCTTTAAGAGATGTACGGATACCAAGTAAAACAAAAATCTTAATTTGTTTATTTAAACGTTCCACAATGCCATTTGACTGAAGGATGATATGCTGTCGTTCGAATTTTACATGAGCCAAGTGTTTTTAAAAACTCCTTCCACAAAGCTGACTCAAACTGAGATCCGCGATCAGTTGTTATAGTAGAAGGTACACCAAATCTTGAGATCCATCCAGCAATGAATGTTTGAGCTACAGAAAAAGCAGTGATATCGCTAATCGGAAAAGCTTCTGGCCAACGAGAGAAACGGTCAATATATGTGAGAATATAGGAGTATCCTTTTGAATAAGGTAACGGACCGATAATATCCAAATGTACATTTTCGAATCTCTTGGAAGGAGGACAGAGAGTTCCAATCTCTGGTTTTGTGTGTCTTAGAACTTTATTCTTCTGACAACTTTGACAGTTGCGTACCCAAAGTTGGATATCATTATTCATATTGGGCCAAATAAAGCGTAAACATATAAGGCGTTGAGTTGCTCTGATTCCTGGATGTGACAGTGAATGAAGTACCGTGAAAATGTTTTTCCGAAAAACTTTCGGAACGAACGGTCTTGGTGCGCCCAAGCTCATGTCACATAGAAGAGACTTGTTATAAAATGGAAGAAATACCAATTCAAAGACTAATGATGTGTCGTCAGAAGACATAAGTTTTGGTAGTTCTGTATCTACTGTTTGTGCTTCTCTAAAACTGTCAAAATCTATATAATCAAGTAATGAAAAATCTATCGAGTTAATTTCCATCCTCGATAAGACGTCTGCTACGACATTGTCCCTTCCCGCTATATGTCGAATATCTGAAGTGAAAGACACGATGAAATCTAAATGACGAATTTCTCTTGGATTGTAACTATCTGAAGATGATGAAATGGCATAAATAATGGGTTTGTAGTCAGTTAGAATATGGAACTCACGCCCTTCAACAAAATATCGAAAATGGCGTATTGCTAAATAGATATCCAACAATTCTCTACCGAACGTATTATACCTGTGTTCTGTGGGAGAGAGTTTTTTTGGAAAAAAAAACGAGATAGGACACCAATCATCACCAACCTTTTGTTGCAAACACAGTTGTCGGAAGCATCAACAACGATTTTAGTTTCAGGATTTTGTTTAGGAAAGTGTAACATGCATTGACTTGACAGAGCAAACTTGATATCCTCAAATGAATTAACTAAATGTTCTGACCACTCAGTTATTCTATTCTCATCTGCTTTAGACTTAGATGTCGCCAATAGCGAATTCAATGGTTGCAAAATTTTTGCACAATTTGGAATAAAACCATTGTAAAAATTAATCAACCCAAGAAATTTCCGCAAGGAGCGAATAGTCGTCGGGCGAACGAAAGTTTTAATAGCTTCAATTTTTTTTTCTAGAGGATGAATTCCTTTTGTGGTTATTTTATGACCCAAGAATTCAATCTCTGACAAAGCAAATTGACACTTTTCAATCTTAATGGATATACCATATTTGTTAAGTTGTTCCAGAGATAAACGGACATATTATTTGTGCTGCTCAATTGTTTCACTGACAAATAAACAGTCATCCAAATATGTGAAGCAAAATGGAAGATTACGAGTTAATTAATTTTTGAACCGTTGAAATGTTTGAGCAGAATTTCTTAGCCCAAATGGCATACTAATATATTCGAACAATCCAAATGAAGTACAAATAGCTGTCTTTGGAATATTTGCTGGGTGAATTGGAATTTGATGATATGCTCGTACCAAATCTATTTTTGAAAAAAAATTTCTTCCCTTGAAGCTGGAAACTGATATCATGAATATGAGGAATGCTGTATCTATCAGTCTTCGTAATGTTATTCACTGCCCTATAATCGCCGCAGGGTCTCCAACTTCCGTTTGATTTAGGAACCATATGTAATGGAGAAGACCCAGTTGCTTGATGATGGTCTGATAATTCCTAAATCAAGGAGTCGACTGAATTCCTTTTTAACAATGTCAAGTTTCTCTGGTGATAATCTGCGTGGTTTTGAAAATACAGGAGGACCGCTTGTTTCAATCAAATGTACAGTTTTATGTTTAAATTTTGAGAGAGTCTTATCCTGCCTCAAAAACTTTGGGTATTCGAATAAAATGTATCGGAAGTAAGTGGGAATTTCAGTCAAGACAATTGAACATTTCATTAACTTCACGTCTGATTGAGTACCTTTCGCAATTATTGACCTAGATGAACTAAGTATATTAGAATTATGCATATCAATTAATAAATCAAAATGTGTCAAAAAGTCTGCGCCAAGGATCGGATATTTGACATTTGCTATGATGAACTTCCATTCAAAAATGTCGTCAAATTTAAGTTGCAAAAGTTTATCACCGTAAATTGAAATTTTAGATCCATTTGCAGCAGAAATAAACGAAAACATATTTTCATTTATGAGATCATGCGTTTTTGGTGGTAAAACACCTACTTCACTTCCAGTATCAACCAAAAACGAAATATTGTTGTCTTTGACGAAAATTAGGCGACCACAAGGTTATTTCGCAGCATAAGTCGCCCCTATTGCTTGCTGCTTCCCTCGGTTTCCTGCCATCTGCATACCTTCTTCCCATAATTATTATGATACTAACAGATAGAGTTCTCTGTCGGTCTTCTTGAATTTCCTGATCTTTTGGGTTGTCTTGTAGATGATTCCCAAGTTTCTACAACTCAGCTACTTCGTTTGATAGTTTGTCAAATTTTTCAATAAATCCCGATGATTTATTAATTCCATTTGCAGATATTGATGATTGCTGATCAAAAGATTCAAAAATATTGTTAGCCATTTTTGCAAGTTCTCTGATGTCTGAACTGTCCTTTAGAGCAAGTAACATTATCTTGATATTTGGCGGAAGATAATGGAGAAACATTTCCTTTAGGAAGGTTTGATCTAGGGCAGGAAATTTGTCTGTGGGTATGATTGTATATGACTGAGCATCCTTGAAGGTCGTTCTCCTCCAAACTTCGAATGCATAAGAAGTCGCATCCGCTCCGAGTCAGATATAGTCGTTCTCTTAATGATTTCATTCTTAAAATCTTCATATGAGTTTCAGGCGGCAAAGCAGAAATAACGTGTTTATATTTGATTTTCGAGTCGAGTATGATACCATAGTTTGAGAAAACTGCTTCAACTTGAACAAACCATAATACCGAATCATGGCTGCAAAATTGAGGTAGTTTTATGTTGATTGCCGAAATTCTAACAGGACTGGCAAATGGTCTTGGCACTTCTCGATCTTCGAGCATTTTCTTGTCGAGGTCACCAATTTGTAGGAATTAATTGGAAGTTTATTAAAGAAATCTAAATTAGTTGACATTTTTTTAAATCGTTCGTACACGGAATTTGATTGTGTGAGTGTTTGAAACATTTAACCCACTAGGGGGGGGTGGGACCAATCCTTACCATTCCAAATGGTGGAAATGCAGCTCAAATTCGAAAAACAACCTCAACTTCCTAGTTTCCACATTTAAGTATTTAATTGGAAAGAATTCTCGACAAACTAACTTTAATTCTTATTATTATATAACATATTGAAAAGCTTTTCCCAAACAGAAAGCCAGATAGAATACGTTTTAAATTTCATATATTAGAGCTGCCAAAATGTCAACATACTTGAGAGGTATACGCATCAATTGTGTAGTATAGACTTTGATTGCCAAGTTTTTTGATGAAGAATCCAGCCCTCGCTCCTGAATCATACTCAGAGACGGAATCACCAAATCTTTCTCGATTCCCACCCAACCAGAACACAAAGTATCAATAGATTCTTAAAACTCACAAATTTCTATCTACATTGATGAGAATTGGTCAATCAAAAAGGCTACTAATCCAGATTGTATAATAAGTAAATGTTCAAGTACAGGGTGTTTTTTTATATACTGACCTCACCTACAGCCCTTACCTTTACAAGTAGATGAAAGATGTTAATACAAAAGTTGTGGTT